TACAATGTCTATATCCTGAATATAGCCTAATATTTCATTTATTGCAGCATAAATTATACTACTGTAACAAATTTTGGGACTCTAAAGGAACATCCATTATTACTGTGTTATCTCAGCTAAAATTCTTATGATGCATTAAACCACGTTTCTCATCCCTGTTATTTAAAGCAATTTACAACAAATGTGATGTGAAACTTCAGAGAAATCCCAAGGAATGCATTTTATGTTGTCTGACGGCGAAAAAAACTGCATTAATTTTAACATCCAAATAACATAATCTGCTCCTAGTGCACATAAACTTCAAACAAATGCCCCTCTTCATACAATAAAAAAAGAAAAAAAGTGATTAGATGTTCTTCTTTAACATGAAGGAGGGCCTACTGGCCTAAAAACCTTCAGTGTCGCATGTCCATGCTGACTACTTGAAGCATGTTGAGCCTCCAGCAGCAGGAAAAGAGACAAGCTATCAGTGCCTCGGTTCCCTGCATCATGGACATGCCCTTGGCACAGCTTCCAGCATGGACTAGAAGGTGTGACAGATGTGACCAGCTTGGTATTCAATGAGAACATTCTCAAACTTCAGCAAAGGTCTTGGAGAGCTGGACTGCCTTTTTGTCTCTCTATTAGATGTGTGGACCATGTGGACATTATGCAAAGAATTCAAGCTCACCCTCTGCCCGTTCAATTACTAAGGAAAATGAGAAAATGCTGTGTGTGGATCATCTTTTTCATTTTTATAGTACTTACAAATAGACACAGTGGGGTAATCCTGTCAAAGCCAGGTATCATCAATGCAGGGAAAACAAACAACGAGAGCTACAGAAGAGTTAAGAGTGTTTGTTCCTGCACTTCGCTTCGGTAGATGAAGTGTGGGTATCTCATAAAATATGCTCGTGTGCTTTGATTTGTTCATCCTGCACTCACTCCTCTGCAATCTGCTTACCATGACAAAAGTCACCAGAGACGCAAAGTGCTGTGATAATGAGAGAACTGTAGGTAACTTCCAGTCAGTCTCCTGGGGCATATTTGGAGTTTACTAGCCATAGGATATAATGGTTTCTCCATGCAATTGCCGCTGACTCCACATTTCTCCTTCAGTAAATATATGCAACCATCGAAAAATAAAATTCAAGCTTACCTTAAGAGAGTGCTGAGCACATCTCTCTTCATGTGCCTCGTGTTTATCCATCTACAATCTTGCAGTCCTACAAAATCAGAGTATTGGCTTTGGTTATAGTAATCGCACTGCTGGAAGAAACCATTGTTTGGCTATTGAAAGTTTTATGTAATTAGTAATTTATGGCCCCTAATTTTCTCAGACACTTTTTGCAGCTGAAGCTGCAAATAACATTATGCCAAATATTAAACCTCTGGATGCAGCATATGTAGCCTCTCGCAGACCAAAATGATACCTCTTTGGGAGGTTTACCCCCCCCAACAAATATTTCTTAGAATGATTTCTCTGTATGTAAAGTACTGACATAAATTACAATATAAGAAATTTAATAATTAATGATATTTTTTCATTATGTGGTCTTATCATCATTATATTTTCATCCATTAATGAATGTATTACTGTAATAATAGCTTTATTCCTCCTAAGATATGCATCTGAAATGACTTCATGGGGTAAAGTTTTAAAAGCTCTGTTACATGTTCCTTTTTTTCAGTTGTTGTTTGCAAGTTGCCCAGATTACCTCTGGTAACACTCTATGTAAGATACAGAGACATGAAACCTTTTCAGCCATCTCGTGACATTACCATTAAATTATTGTTCCCATTTTCAAGAGGAAGAGGAATGTGTTTAACATTTCCTTTCATTTTGTTCTGCTTTTAAATATCTCTAACACTGTGCCAGAATTAAAGTCAAAAGTTAACACCATACTAATGGGGTTAATGTGTGGTCAAAGTCTGCATTTTTTTCTGCCAGAAGAGCATTTGACATTATTCTTGTTGAATAAAGACAGTGAGTGGCGATACATTACAAGCCTGCAGCTCTGAAAAGGAAAACCAGGCTGTTTGCACACACTGGATTGCTGTATTTCTTTGTTCCAGGCAGGGCAGGCTGTGCCAAGAGGTGGTTTTATTGGTACTTCCAAGTGCGATGCTGCTGCTTTGTGGTGCAAGGAGCACCTCTGATGTGCAAGAGCCTCAGGTATAAATATAATGATGTGACTGTTTATTCTCTGTGTTGATCCACTGTAGCTCTATTCCAGCTTCATCCCAGCTGATTTCCATGGTGTTATATTGCCCTCGGCCTGGCAGCAGCGTGGTGATGAATCAGGCATTCCTTTCTCCAGTTTCCAGTGCACAAAGTGAATTTTCCAGGTAGCCTGTTCAGAGACCTTTGCGTTCCCTTGTACTGTAAGACAGATGAGGATGAACAGGAGCCAAAAGGAAAGGCAAAACCTAGAGAGAAGCCATCTGCCCTCTTTTCACCTCCTCACGGAAGTCTCCTGGTGGTGACACTGTGAGCTCCGGACCTGGCTAGAAAGGGTCAGCTGAGTTTAGGAAGGAAACGTTTTGCAATGCATGGTTCCTCATTAGGAATGTAGTAGAAAAAGGGAGACATCAGTAATGCTGCTCCTCTAGTTTGCCTTCTGTCCTGGCTTCTGCCCAGGGGGAGAATTGGGAGAGATGAAGGTGCAGCCATGGCACTGGGAATCAAGGGGAGGATCGATGTCCGTGGCCTCAAGGACATGAGGACGGGGAGTCAGAGTATCTGTACAGCTGCTAGGAAGTTCCCATGACTCCAGGAAGTCCTGCAGCCAAATGCTTTGATTTCTGTTGCCTTTCAAGGACTGGTAAGTGTCACCCACAGAACTGACACCTGCTCCCTCCTTTCAGTGTGACATTCCGTCACAGATCCTGAAGTCAGACTCTTTCAGCTCTGTGCCTGATTTTTTTACAGAAAAGATCATTCACAGCCAATATTAGCTGTACACAGAAGGGGAGTTGAGAAGCTGTGTGCTTCTTAGAGCTTCAGCTTGTCCTTAAAGCAAAACAATTAGTTAATTAAATTGACATAAGAGGGATCTTTCCATGGATGGCTTTGCTGTGGGGGTATTGGTCTGGACCAGGAGGCAGCACGAGGACACCTCCCTGGCCAGCCCCATCCTGCAGACCCCAGCAAGGTGGGCCAGGCTGGGCTGGGGATGGTGACCAAAGCTGGCCACAGCCCCACAGTCCATGGACACCATGGAACCCAGACAGGAAGGCATCCCCTGGGAATGGGATGGGGATGGGATGAGGGCGGTGGCTGGCTCAGCAGGGCCCTGGACCAGGCAGGGACAGGGCTGCAGCACCCAGACTCCATATCAAAGAAGTTCTCATTACTAAATGAAAGAGACTGTCTTGGTTAATCCAGTGGAGAAGGGGTACTTAATTAATTTCTACCGAGGTCTGCTGGGAAATTCTTCTAAGGTCTGTTAATTCTTACTGAGATTTGATCAGCAGGAAGCAATGTACTGGTTTTGCTCTGCCTTCACGATTTGCAGCCACTTTCTGAGGAAGCAGGGTAGTGGTAACAAGTCCCAGATTGCTGCTGCTAAGGTGAGGTCTGGGTAAAATGTACTCATGAGCTAGATGAGAGGCTGCTATTTGAGTACCAGCACAGGACTGTATCTTTGGATATGTAAATTAAAGCTACAGGTGAGAGCACAAGTAAAAATGAATGGTTTGTTCCACATTATAATTTTTTCCAGCAGAAAAGCCTGCTTAGCAGGTTCCTGATCTCTCCCTTGTCTCACCTCCTCTATGGCAATGACCACTGCAATTTACCAGTCAAGCTGTGGAAGCTCTTTGTGAAGACTCTCTCTGAACCCAGTCAGTGAAATCACCTAATTTTTTTAAAATAAACTGGGGAAAAAAAAAGGAACTCTCTCAAGTGTAGCCACCTATGGAGCACACTGAGCAGTTAAAAAATTGTGGTTAATGTGAAGCACAAGAGAGAAAACAGCTGTAAAACTCTTCTGTGAGTCTCACTCTTAGAGCAACCTGGCTCTAAGAAAAAAGAAACATCCCAATGACCACAACTCCCAACAGAAATTCTTCCAGATCATTGTATCACCACAGATGCCACACACTTTCTATTACAAAACCCAATGTCATGATGTTTTTCAAAATCATCAGGCTTCCACCATGCAGACCAGAACTGCAGATGCTGGAAGGATGTCTCTGCTGAAAATGATTCATCTGCAGTAAGTCCAGCATCTCCAAACACAAGGGCATGAGGGATGCTTTGTTTTAATCCTGTGAACCTGTCCTAGCAACCCTTTATTTGGGGAAGGTTTTAAACTCAAAATTCCCCTGTCTTACAGAACCCTGATTCACACCTCACACAGGTACCAGGGGCCAAGGAACTGAGGCATACATAGAGACAGCCATATTAAGGTTACTGGGACAACATTAATCCTGGTATTTCCTAGCTTTTGCATGTTTTCCTGAACAAGCATGACCTACTCTCCTGTGGGCTGGTGGAGGAAACCAGATCTTTGTCACTTTATCTTTTTGTCTTCACTTAACTTTAGTAGCTCTGCATGCCTGTTATAGAAATCTCTAACCCAAAGTTGTTCATGGGAAGAGAAAGGAACTGCTTTAACTGAAAGTGAACTTTCTCTGATCACATACAAGGTTATCTACCTGTAAGTTAAGCCAAGAACTGCAGTTATCAATACAGTTAGTGACAACTGATTACACTGCCCATTTGGTTTGGTTGCTTTGTTACAAGAGTCAGCAAAGAGCTAAATTAATCCAGCTACCACTGCTTGTACTTTTAATCTAATGCAAAAGCTGAATTTCAGACTTTTAAAAGTGAAAGGCTAGCATCTACCTATCAGTGATACTACCTAACTGCTCATACTGGGTAACTGTGGAAATAACAGCACACAATACATTTAATTTCTAAGGCTGAACAATCAGGGACCATTACAGGAATATGGAAGACACAAGTAAAGCAATTAAGATAAGTGAAATGTCTTTCATTACTTGTATCAAACAGGCAAACTATTCAGAAAGATGGGCCAAGTTGCTGAACTTGCTCAAAATAAATGACCGGGGCAACTTTCCATGTGTGCTGACTGTAACTCAGACACTGTGTTAGCTGGGTTGGCTCTTTGTCGGCATCCTCCTGGGGAACACTCTCAGCTCCTGTTTAAATAAGAGCATTACTTGTTTTGAGTGAAATGAGAAATAAACTGACAGCCACAAATGAAAAGTAATTGACTAAGTTTTGTTTGTAGACAAAGTCGAGTATTTATGTGACCCTGAGTTTGCAAACATATAAGGGAGAAGTGACTTCTTTACAGTGGGACTGCTCCAGTGTGGGTAGTTACTCATTTGCTGAAATGTTCACAAGATCAGAATACAACATCCAGAAACTCAGCTGCTACACCCAAACATTTTTCCCACAGCACCCGGTTCTTAGTCACTGCTCTCCAGGGAGAGCAGACAATCTAGAGCAGACAGCACAGGGCAGAAGTCATTGTGGTCAGTGTGTGGCCTATTTAGTAAAAGAACTTATCTTGCTCATTTTCCATGATTCATATTTCAAGACTGCATTATTAATTTCTGTCAGCCATAGACACTAGATTTATACTAAATGAAGAGCTGCAGAAAGGCTTGTCATTTGTTCTACAGCCTAGTGTGAGAGCACTGACTTCACTTACATACAGGCTAACACTTATTTTGTGATCAATAGTGTTAAGTTTATTAATGGTTAGTATTTTCAAAAGTTACAAATTCTTTGGGGTAGCTCCATCACAGAGATTCCTTCAGGCAGAGTGATATTCAAAAGCAGGTCCTCCATCCTTCTGAAAAGCCTGTGGCTCCCTGAGACCTCTCAAGAGGGTCTCCTGAGACCCTGTGTCACTTTGGAGCATCTTTGCCGGTCATTTTAGTTACCCTGCAAAGAAAAGGACCTGCCTGACCTGTTGCTGTTTGCTACCACCTTTATGGAGCCTGCAGTGCTCTATCCTTTTGGAGATGTGTAAATAATCATATTATTTGCTGTCATAATAATTACTTAACCAATACTAACCTACTGGTAGTGAGTAGTCTTAAGACCAATGTTCAATGAATTCATGAGCCTGAAGGAGAAGTAAAAGGTAGCTCTGAAACCCCTGTGTAACCATTCCCAGAAGATGACTGCAGAGAGAGAGTGGCCTTTCTGCCGCTCACCACTGTCCAGAGAACCTTCCCGACCTCCCAGGCTCCCAGTAAGAACTGAGGGAAGAAGCAGAGCCAGCAGCTTACAGGAGCCACTGGCTTTGCAGAAAGTGATAACTTCATTAAACAATGCAAAATTTACACCACAAAACACCCCAGGAGAGCTGTGGAAAAAATGCAGTAAGGTTTTTTAAATACCTCGGTCTATTAATTCAAAAAATATACATTGGCAGGAGGAGGGGAAGTAGTTTAATAATTTTAATGGCCAACACTTAAGAAAAGATTAAAGGTCTAATATATTAAAAAGGAAACTCTGCTGATGGTAATCAGTTTTGCTGCTTTTATGCATCATTTTGTTCCGTGTTTGTGTATGAAATGAGGTGGGGAGGGGGGTTGGGGGAAATTTGAAGATTTAGGGAGATTACTGCCTTCATGAAAGTGTTTTATTGCACTTCGGCAGTTCTGGATTTAACCAGAAAATCCAATTGTGGAAAAAGGGTGAAACAATCTGTTTTTCCTCTAATCAATCACAAGGTTGCAGGACACATTAAAATAAATTTGCGGCTGCCATTTTTCTTCCTTCCCACTGCTGTCGTAGCAAATGGTGATCCAAAAGCTGACTGACACTTCACGTATCAGCTCAGATGCCTGCTGCCCTCCTCCTTTTACCAATTCTTATGATTACAAACAAATAACTTCAGAGCTGTTATGAGAACATGGAGAGCAGCCTTATGGCAGATGAGGCATTTTAATAGGGACTAACCCTGAAATATCAGCAAAATTACAATCAGTCACATGAAGTAGTACGAATAGAGCAACAAATAGTGTAAAGTATTCCTTCTCACTTTTGCCTACAGATGTCTGTTATTCCTAAGCTAGTTGTTACCTCAGATATAGCAACTAGCAACAAAAATCAAAAGCAATGTGTTCAAATCAATACAGAGTGCAGAATCATTCCCTGCCATTGCAACAAACAGCAGTAGTTTAAGCATAACACGTCCGTGCAAAGTTTCAAATCCAAGGTAAATAGAATTTTACACCTCTAAATGTTCAAATTCAGGACACCAGAAATGCACATCACTCGCAGACCACTGGTAGACTGCTCATGGTACCCATGCAAGCTGGTTTCTGTGACTGCCATGTAAATATACACCAGTGCTGAGGTACAACTCACTTTATCATCTTAAACAGAGGAATCCAGCTTACATGCGTCTAGGCTGTAAGAGAGTGCTACAGGAACTATGGCCAATCACTGCTGAGGAAACCTTCCTTTATGTTGAGCCTGGGTATAGAATAGACAATTGATTTTTAGACAGTTAAATTTAGATTAATTCCATCCAACACTGACTTTTAGGAGATGCAGTTATTTAGTTACTACTGTGTCAGTGATCCAAGATGAGACCTTTGCAGGTATGGAAGATTACAGACTCAGTTTTAGTTGATTGAGGTAATTAACACCATCTTTGGACAGTAATTTATCTTATCTTCCTAATTCCTATGAATGGTTTCCCCCTGTCCACCACAGGCAAATCCCTCAACCTGTTCACAAGAGGAAGGTACTCCCACACGTATTTTTTTGCTTCAACTGTTCTCTGCTTCTGTCAAAGACTGCGGACTTGAATTGCAGCATCAGAGCCCAAATACAACATCTGCATCTGGGCTGAACAACAGTGACAGGAACAAAAGGAAATCCCTTGGAAGATTCCAGTAACAAGGGAACCCATCTAGGCATATAAACACTACCCATACACAAAGGCTCCATCCTACAGCCTTTTACTGTGCAAGATGGCATTAGGATTTGTAAGGGCTGGTATCCGTGCCTGTGAGCATGGACATTAGATGGTACTGAGTAATTTGAGTAATTATTTTTTTGCTGATATTGTCCAGATAACAATTAACTGGGACAGCGGTGAGTAAAGTGAAACCACTACTAGGTATGGAAAAAAGTACCGTGTTAGGTTCTATGGGGTATTTGTTTTATGCCATATTTTCTAGAGGTGTTTCTCATTTCTCTTTTCTCTAGTGTCTTTTGTGAGCACAATGTGAAAGTGGTGTACAAAGGTTAAATATTAATATAGATTCTCTCATGCTTCATTGACAATGTTCAGATGTAACACTGAAAAAAAAGAGTGGTTGAAATAAATCTTTGCTTTCCAGCATGAAAATAAAATGCTGAAGTATAAGAAGATAGTTAAGCAAAATACTGTGGTCTGCCACTCCTCAGAACAAAAGCAGCAACGGTCAGGAAGGTTTTGCTGAGTAACGTTGTAGTGAAACTGAAAGAGAAGCAGCAGAAAATATAGAGAGAGCTTAAAGAAGTACTGGGAACGTGGTCTTGAGAAAAGTCTTCAGACAGAATTCTGGGCTGAGAGCTGAGCAGCAGAGGGCTGAGAACATAAAGAAGTATCACCTGCTTGCATTTTCCCCTGGGGAAATGTATGACCGTGTGCATTTTTTTGTGCAAAATGTACAAATAATAAATTATCAGCAAAGATATCAACTCTGTTGATCATCTGTATTTCTAATCAAATAAAGTCACAGCCTTGAAAATTAACGTAACTTTCAGATAGAAGGGGTAAGAGCATACTGTTAACTTCTCATAAACATAACTGTATATGGGACAAAATTTTTCTATTGTTCATTCACAACAATTTTATGTTTGTTTCTATCCTGCATAAAAATAACAAAGATATGCCAACTTTCAATCATATGGTGAATATATGTTACCACATAAATATTTATCAGACATATTTTCTTCTGTGCAAGAACTGCATTTAACTTCATCAATTCAATTTCATTTAAAAAAGACTAAGCCAGCATATTGAACTGATTTCTGGCACAATGGTAAGATTTTTTTTTTCTTTACTGTCATTTTAATTCATTATATTGCTGTGCTATTTTTAAAAGGTCCCATTTATATTGTACATTGCAGTTCCATAGATTAACAGTTGGAAACTAAAGATTAATTTACAGGAAATGCAAGGAAGGTAGCAAAGCGTAGTGATAGGAGTTATCTTGAGTTATTTCAGATAATATACCACAAGATCTTCACCATGGCATATTCTACACAGTTCAGATTTTAAACTTTTAAAGGCAGGGGTTAACTATTTTTGTTGCTTCCGTGAAATAACTTAAGTATACCATGTCTTATGCTAAATTAGATCTTCATTTCATTTTGTCTAATACATAACATGGTAAATTCTGCCTACAATTTAAAAGGGGGAAATTAATTGCTATAAAGTACCAATAATACAGCTCAGAGCAGAACATTACAATATTTCAGTTGCAATTACAAAAGTGAAGCCAGTGCAGGTGAACAGCAGCTGAAATTTATCACCACCTGATGGCTGTTCAGCGGACCATGGGAAGGGAATTAACTTGTCTGTCCAGTCTGGAGCTGAAAACTCTCTGTGTTTTAGAAACTGCCACCAAACCTGGCACCTTCATTGGCAGAGATCAAGGGTTAGGTGGGAGTTGGAGAAACAAGTATTGCTGTGCTTTTAACTGCTGACAGACTAAGTGCAGAACTTCATTTGTCAGCGATGATGGCAAAAGCATTCAGAAGTTTTAAAAAAGCTCAGAAAAGAAAAAAAAAATCCTCCAGTAGACAGTCACAACCTTTGCACAAATTTGCCAAGTTCTTGTTTACTTGCAGTCATGGGACTGGACACTGAAAAAAAGTCTGTCTACAAAAGAATTACATTCACACAAGCAGGAGTTATGGTCTTGGGGCAGAAATTAATGGGTGAGGTTCTCTGGCCTGTGTGATACAAGAGGTCAGACTAACTGATCATGATGGTCCCTCTGGCCTTTTAAATCTATGATTCTGTGATCAGTAGACGGAAATCAAACTGTTTGCAAACTCAGGCAATGTCTCTTTTCTTTTAGTCTACATAGTGACATTTGCTTTGGACATTTTATGCTGTAAAATATACAGACATGAATATGATATCCTGCACATGTTTGGGCATTATCCATTCCCACAGAAAGCTTTTTGCATCATGGGCTGGATCACACAAGCCATTTTAGGTCCTCTTCTGCTGTCAGTATGGCAGACAGCACTTTATCACTTGAGTAATGCAAGGGCTAGAGGAAGCAAAATAGATCTGTCAGTGCTCTGTGGATTTTAGGCTTGCACTTGAGGAGTACATGAGCAAAGGCAAAGTTATTCTCTGTCACTCTCTCTTCTTATTCTCTCTTCTCTCATTGTGATGCATAATCAAGCTCCTTGCACCACCAAAAGAAATGATAAACAATTTCACCATCAAGACTAAGGAAGGTTGGATGAATTTCTGAGCAACCTGGTTTGCTGGGAAGTGTCCCTGCTTATGGCTAGGGGGATTTGAACTAGAAGATCTTTAAGGTCCCTTCCAACCCAAACCATTCCATGGTTCTGTGACTACACATGTGTAGAGAACTAAGAAGTTTCCAACCATCATCAACAAAGTTAAGTTTAGCAGCCCTCCTGACTGTTCTGCTGGTCCTGATGGAGAGGCATCAAAAACTGAGTGATTTAGTTTGGGAAGGCTAGATTTTCTTTTATTAAGGCTTTGATTTTTTCAAATAAGAAAATTCCATAAAAAAAAGAGAAGCCATAATACTGTCAGTTGGATAGAAGATGGCACTGCAAATACAAAGTGATAGACTGGCTATCCAAGTGAAGCATACAATTAGTTCTGAATACCTTTCTTTCAAAATTATACTGATAATTGGCAATCTTATTCACCTGAGTTTGCATTTGGCTAAATGACAGAGAATTCTATTACCTGATGCGTTTTTTTTTAAAGTTCATTTGCAAATAGCAGGATTTACTATTTGTGAGAGGCCAGTTTTCTTTCTATTAAAAACGAGAAAATTATTAAAGCAGTTCTAAAGGTATGATTCCCATTCTTAGCACATGGTGTTTATCACCAGATTTAGGATGGTAGAATAGTCTTAGGAGTCACTACACAAGCTATATAACACCTCCCTGTATTTCCTTAACCACCATTTTTTTCTCTTAGTTCCTGCTTATTTCTTTTCTTCCTCCTTTTGTGCTGGCACCACTGTGCATCTGGTCACGTTGTGAAGCAGCCACAAGAACAAGAACTGACTGAGCATAAAAAAACAGCCCAAAATGAACAAACAATAAAACCCAAATGGTATTAAAAAAAAGAAAAAAAGGGGAGGGGGAAGAGTTCTTTTCAAAACTTGTTTCCCAGAACCAGGGTGCTTGTAGGGCAATGGATGGAGCTTCTCTGGCAGAGCAGAGGAAGGTGGCACATGGGGCAGGGTGGGCAGGACTCCTGTGATCCGCTCTGAGTATCACCTCTGCCTGGAAACAGAGTGTCTGGACTGTCTGCAGGCCTAGTGAGCGGCATACGTAAGGAGATATTTCTAGCCTCTCTAGTTTTGCATGACAGGTATTCACTGTTTCCACATCTCAGTAGCTCTGCCATTTTCCATTCACCCTCGCTGTCCCGTGACAGTTTGCCACAAGTTCAGAAATTGACTGTCAAGTTATTATTTGCAATGTACTTTGTTGCTACAAATGAATACTGTATTGACTTTGCTCCAAAACAGGAGGAAAGATCTCCACTCTGTGCTAGGTGCTACCTGCAGTGAAGTAGAGAATAAACCCACTAGCACAGGGAAGGACTGACTATTATCTCTCCAAGCTCTGCTCAATGTCTTCTGTTAGTCTGGAAGGAAACAGGATAATGGAAAGTTTTGATTTCAGCAAAATAACACCTCTAAGCAACAGTTTCTCATGTCAGAAGTTTGGCTTTTTTTCCCCTCCAAGAACACATTGCCACATGATGACCTGCGCCAGGTACTTTCTGGGAACGTGTGGGGGGGAAAGTTTTAAAGCCTATTTTAATCCTTCCCCTCGTTGACACCTCATTGTTTTAGACTTGTAATGATAAATGTGATAATGAGTAATGACATCTATTCATGGAACGTGTGAAAGCAGGTCTGAAATGTCAGGATTTAGCGTGAGGAAAATGTGTCTCCAGCAAGGTCAGCTGCATTGACTTACTTTAGCCCATCCCTCATTAAAACACAGGCTGGATTTCTCATAAGTCTGGGCAGAGCACATTCTCCGTCTCTCTGTCTCCGTCCCCCTGCGCCTGCATTTTTTTTAGATGGTGCTCAAAGGCCAAATTATGGGAATTTTCAAACTCATTGTTCCCCATTAAAATGCTAATTCTGCCTGTGATTCCTATTGTTTAATCCCTTGAGTGCTCTAGGACACGCAAGACAGAGTACACATTCTGTGAAAGAGCTCTCACCCTGCATGTTTCTCCGTCCCACTGCCAACAGCCGGCCAGGACAAATGGTGCGGCTTGGCGAGGGGACAAGAGGCTTCAGCAAGGTGCAGCAAAAGAGCTGTATCCAGTTGTCACACCGATGGTGCTTCTGATGCTACCTACGATGCACCTCTCCTCTGCTCTTTCACGCAGACTTAAAATGCTTATCACCGTAGTGCCTGAGTGCTTTCTAACAGCGCAGCAACCACAGCAGCCAACATCTTTCTCCTCTCCCCCCATCCCCAGGGAGAGGGCCTGTGTAGAGAAAAGCCTTTGGTAGAGGCAATTTTTTTTTTATTTTTTTAAATTTTTTTTTAATGAGAGTAAGATAGGAAAGGAGGATTGCTTTTAAAGTGTTTATTAGTGTATATGTTATTTGAACTTTATATGGGGCAGGGGGAGTGGTCAAAAAATGTACTTGGAGCAGACAATGATGAAGGGATATGATGGTTTACAGACTCAGGGGAATTTGACTCTGTAGGGTGGATGTGCTCTTCTGGAAAGCTTTGTTCTGATCACCATTGTGCCAGAGATTTGAAAGTGTCAATCACAGTCCTGGTATATTCGATTATTGTTTAGATACCACAAAGCCAGGCCTGGGATGGCTATCAACAAGAAAGACCAAGATTCTGAATTTGACACCCACAATTTTACCAGTGGTTAACACGAACAGCACCAAGCTGACCCTGTGTGGGTTACTAATGTTAGATGATATAATTCTGCTTTTCCATTGTTTTTGGTTTAGCTTTTGTAGACCTTTAGGCAGGTGAGACTAGACACTGACCTTTGCTTCCAAATGAAAATGAAGATTTGACATTTTCACCTAGAAAATGGGATCTTTCCACTTACCATAACTAGGAAAGGATCTCATTTGACACCTATGCATGTGCCTGGCAGAAAGAAGGGTGCCTTCATTGCAAGAAGAGGAAAGAAGTCAATGAATTAAAATCTCCATGACTGAAATATTTTCTGCAGGGCCGCATATTGACATTTTTATTCTGATACCTATCACTGTAGAAGACGTCTTTGTTCTACTTTGTAATATTTTACCAAAGTGTTGTTTACAACCACAATCTTAGGATACAAGTGAGGAAAGGGAGAGGATGTAACATTTATTAAGTCAGCTAGTGTACTGGGAAAAACATTATGCTTTTGGATTTGGCATTCAGGGATAAGTTTTATCCAACTTTATCAGTTGGTCTAAGAAAATATCTTTCTTCCAAAATACTCCCATTAAGCTCTACTTATATTTTTGTGACTATATCTAGTTTTTGAGGTTTCTGTTAAACCACTGATATTTCCCCCTGCTCTTCTAACTCCAGTCATTTCTTTATACTTGGTGAACCATTTGGTTTCCACTCCATAATAAAGTTATCATCCATACTTGGCAGACATTGCCTGAAAAGACTCTGCAATGCTGAGTTTATGCTCACTAGTTAGTTTTAAACTGTATTTCAACAATACCAAATGTCTCGTTGTGTCTTTATAGTTTGCTTTATACTAATTCATTCTGATTATTACTGCCTTAAATTAACACTCAGGAATTTTGGCTGTAACTATCAGTAGAGTCCACCTAAAATTATGACCAGAATTGTTTTGGTTGGTTTGGGGTTTTTTTTCTGAACTTTTCATCATGGATGGAATAGACATTACCTAAGATTACCATGACCAGGTATCAAATCTAGGTAAAGGGCAGTAGGTAAAAAAATTATTAATTAAACTATGCCTTGAGTAGCAAGGATTGGTTCAGACACAGCCCTGTGGAAGGAGCCTGTATTAGCAGTACACCATGGTGCCTTCTCTCCTTGTATTAGCCCTGCCAACCAGCAAATGGAATTTTACAGCACAGACTTCCCTCTCTCCTTTTCTCCCTCATCCAGCACCGTGCAGCAGACAAACAGGCAAACAGGCCAGATGAAAGTTCACAGAGCCATCCCAAGTACAAATAAAAGAGTTTCCACTTCCTTGCACAGGAATGTGGCCCATGTCATTGTCCCCATGTCCTGGGGACATTGGTCAGGAAAAGAAATGAAGAAAGTTACATTTAGATAATACAACGACCTGTTCATATGTAAGTAGGTAGGCAACAGAATTGTAGTTCTAAGGTTTGAACCTAACTCCAAGAATCTTGCAATTGCATTGTTCTCCGGAAGTGTGCACTCTTTTATTCTGTGACTTCATTTAATTTATCCATAGGAGCATCCCTTTCTAAGCTGTGCCTACAAACCATCCATGTCATCCAGCATCAAGTAATTAACACTAAGGTGATGAGCCTGCCTTTTTACAACGAAACACACCCTCTTCTTAAGTTCATCTAGAAGAAAGTCAAGATACTCGATTAGTTTTATAAGGTCTACACACTAGTTTGCTTTCTCTAGATTTAGGTCTGCCTTCTGAAAGTCTATCTGCTTTTTATCAGCATTTTTCAATACAAAATCATGTTTAGCAGTAAATATTTTACACAATTTATTATGCTACTGAAGGCATAAACATCTGTAAAATTGCTGTATGCTAATATAAAATGTCACCCTTGAAAGAAAAAAAATATACAGAATGTTAAACCATATTTTTTTGTTGTTGTTATTTCATATGTTCTATTTTAATAATTATAATTAATTTCTTATTAATTCCAGTTAGGGCATGGTAACAAATCTGTTAGACACAGGAAAAACATCAAATCATCACACCATGTTTGTGAATTTAACCCATACTCTTAGTGAGAGAGGATCTGGCTTTTAAAATAAATGCACCAGAAGTGTATGTAAGAATGTTTTATAACTTGAATTCATACAGATATTGAACAGATATTGTTCAAGCAAGTCTATATTCCATTCAGTAAGTGCTTAGAGACTACTTTCACAAACCTATGGACTCACAGTATACTGTCTTCATAATTTTCATTGATTGCATCCCTTGTGTACCATAGTTTGTAGTGTCATAGGAAACAGCCATGTGACTATAATGCTCATGAGGAGGAACAACAACAAAAAAAAAGCAGCAAACACAAGTATACTGACACATCTTTTATTGGTCTAATTCTCTCA